ACCTTTCAGAGCCGACAATTCATCGCCACGACTTTTCATCGCTACGACAGTTTATCGCTACGACAATTCATTGCCACAAAAATATCGTATTGTATCTATGATTTATACAGTATGTCTGAAAAACAAACAATTTTTTTTGTGCTATATTGAATTTTTCTTATAAGTACCAAATAAAATTATTTTTTCGAAAAAATTACAAAATATCTTACTCTAAATTACACAAAAATATGATTTACTTTTTTTCTGCTAATCAAGTAGTTTTTACTAAGAAAAATATAATAAATATCAATAATGTATTATTGATAAGCCAATTTAAAGTGTATAAGCGGCAGTCGCAGGTTCTCAACAGTCCTTTACCTACTATTTAAAAAGGATTATCTTCATTAGCCAATTCGGGTAAGTTACCACATTAGTTAATAATAATAGAGAATTATAATTATCCTTTATTAATCCTTTCAAGGAAAAATTCATAGTGCAATCAATATTTAATTCTAAAAAGGATTATCTTCAATAGCTTGTTTGTGTAAGTTAGTATTTTAGATGCCCTGTTTATAATATATGTATATAAGGTTTAAATAAGAAATACCAACGAACTGTAATCATTTTTATTTTGTCTTTGTACGAGTTTACATCATTGTAAAATTTGAAAATGCCGTTACAATTTGTTGACATCGAAAGAGGTCACAAAATGCTTTTATACAATGGCCATACACATTCTAGAGAAAAAATTTCTGGAGAAAAAGGTATTTGGAAATGTTCTCTATATCATTAATGGAGATGTACCGGTCGCGTTCATACCATAGGCGATGAAATTGTGAAGAGTACCGAACATAATCGTGTGTCAGATAGTGCTGATGCCGAAGTAAGAAGAGCTGTTAAAAAAATGAAAGTTTTAGCTGAACAAAGTGGTTCCACTAGTCAACAAATCATTGCAAAGGTTTCCGAGGGTTTATCATCATCGGCTGCAGCCAGATTACCACAAGTGAGTGCAATGAAAAGAATTATTCAACGAAAAAAGGAAAAGACAGAAGAAATTCATGCGATTCCAAATTCTCTGCTTCAATTAGTTATTCCACAGGAATATACACTGACAAGCAGTGGTCAGTTATGTTTAATGTACGACAGCGGCCCATCAGAAGATCGAATATTAGTGTTTACAACAGCAAGAAATCTTGACTACATGTTGGAGTGTGAACACTGGTACGGAGATGGAACTTTTTCAACAGCCTCTAATATGTTTTCCCAAATATATACAATCCATGGCGTCAAATATTCAAATACCATTCCAACAGTATATGCAATTCTGCCGAATAAAAGAGAAGAAAGCTATAGACGTTTATATGCAGCATTAAAAAATTTGAAACCTGAACTTTGCCCTACATCTTTTTTAATGGATTTCGAAAAAGCAGCGATGAATGCGGTACGAAGTGAATTCCCTAATACTCAAATTCGTGGATGCTTTTTTCATTTTTCTCAGTGTATATAGAGACAAATCCAGAATACCAGATTTCAGAGGCAATATGTGGATGAAGAAGTGTTTTCATCAAATTTGCGACTTCTGGCTGCACTTGCTTATGTTCCTGAAGACGATGTAGAGAGTGCTTTTGATTTATTATTGGAAAGTGAATTCTATGCAGAAAACGAGTACTTAGCAGATTTAATAAACTATTTTGAAGACACGTGGATTGGTAGATTAGACAGAAGATGTAGAAGACGGTTACCAAAATTTTCTATATCTTCTTGGAATTGTTATAATGCAGCCAGAGAGGGAATTGCTAGAACCAATAATGCAGTTGAAGGATGGCATAACAGTTTCAGTTCAATTGTTTTAATTGCACATTTCAACATTTGGAGGCTAATTAGGCTTTATAAAAGGAGGAAAGCCTTAACAAATTGAAAATAGAGCAAATTGTGGCAGGTAATGAAATTACTCAAAAAAAAATTTACAGAGATTCTGCACGTCGTTTAAAACTACTTACAGAATCCTACGACGCTCGTAATACCATGGAATATCTTCGAGGAATTGCGCATAATTTTCGAATGCAAGTCTAAATTATTTAATATTATTATATTATATTAATTCAATTTAAAATGTAATAACTAGCAACTACAATTTTTTATAATATATTTTTTTTCCATATACCTATTTGTTTTTTATTACCTATACTAAAAAATATATAAAATAAAATTGTGATTATAATAAAAAAATAAAATAAACCATAAAATGAATTCTAAAAAATGGCTGGCGACAAATTGTCGTGGCGGTGAATTGTCGTAGCGGTGAATCGTCTTACGATGAAATGTCGGCTCTGAATTTTCGCGCGATGAATTGTCGGGCGATGAATTGACGTAGATCCATTGTAAATATTACATTTTTATTCAAAAGTTTTGCTTGGTAAATTAATTTTGCTCGTCCAGCAAATATTTACTCACATAAAATTAGAAATTTCTTAAACAACTTTCATTATTATTTAGATACTTTTATGAATATTTAAGAATACTTAAGATTTTAAAGGAACTTTAAAATTCTTCATATCTATTTATTTTTTTATAATATCATATCGCATTCAAAATTATGTCTTGAAATACCCTGTATCATAGAAATATTCCGCATTGTGAGCTTCCCTGCATATGAGTATTACTAATAAATTTCAACTACCTAAAAGTTTTTCCTTTCATTTCATCCATGATAAAATGTGATTTAAACATTTAATTCTCTTTCAATATTCAAAGTTCGAAGAGACCGATTCAGAACTTGGCAGTCAAGCAGTGTTTCACAACTACAGATCAATTTACTTTTGTACAAGTTTTCCACCGCTTTGATGCTTGACTAACTTTTAATAGTCGATTATTGAAACAAGCTTCTTATACATATTCATTATTTAATCCGTTCTCAGACTTAAAGCTTTTAGCAATTCCAGAACTGCTGTCCCGACTCTAATTCCATTTCAATTTGTGTGAAACTTTCACATCCGATTCCTCAAGAAAGTTACACACTCAAGAAACTATTAGAGCTTGTTTCCTGAAATACTGTGTCGTTGTGATCAAGTGCTTTTTGTTCCATGCTTGCTATATGCATTTTGATGAAAGACAGGGTCGTAAGTCAATATCTGTTATTTGGGGGAAGGGACTGTTGGTATTATATTGCACTTTTAACTGGTCTGCAAATTAAATTAAATATTTTAGTACATTTTCAAAAATTTGTGTAATATCAGCCACTAATATTATCAACGTGCTAAAATTAAACTTATTGGAACCATGAAGTTTTGACATTAGAGTTCTTGTCCTTATAAAAAGAAGCCTTACCTTTTGATTTTAAAAATTAAAGCAATTCCTTCAAGGTATATGTATAAAAAAAAGTGAAGGAAAATGTTTTGCTTCGAGGGGTTTGCTTTAAAGTAAAAGGTTTTACGTTTTTCGTATTTATAAAAAGAAGCATTTGCTCAAAAACTAAAGGATTTGCTTCTAAAAAAGGAATCTAGGTTCGCATCAACTTCTATTATTCTTTTCAGTAGTTGCCCAACCATCATACAGCAAGTAACATAAAAAGTTGTGTATTCGTGTGTTAAAATCTATCTGGAAAGTCTTGTCTAAGTGATCTTTGTTTGTGTGGTCCCAGAGTTGTGTTTGTTATAGCTAATATGGTACATTTACGTACCAGAAAATACTACAAACCAAGACGTACGCCACGTGAATCAGATTTCAAAACGCTATTTAGATTTGAGGAGGAGAATGTGGTGTGGTTGGCGGAGCACTTTCTTGGCGCAGATCCCCAAACTCGTGGAGCAGCCCTATCACCTGTGCATAAAATGAAAGTATTTCTGCGTTATTGTGCAAACCCTGGATTCGAGAGCGGAATTGCTGAAGAATTGGGATGCACACAACCCACAGTGTCCAGAATATTTCATAAGGTGCTTGAACGGATTGTACATGAGGCTGGCGAATGGATTCGGTTCCCAAATACAGAAAATCAAATCATGCGGGTCAAAGAGAAGTGGTTGACCAGGTTCCATTTCCCAACAGCTATTGGGGTTATTGACTGCACGCACATTCGTATTGAATAGCCAGCCCAATTTGGAGACGAATATATAAATCGAAAAGGTTTTAGCAGTATTAATGTGCAGGTCACATGTGACCAGAATTGTGTTATAACTAGTATAGATGCAAGTTGGCCTGGATCAGTTCATGATTCTCGTATATGGAAGAATTCGGCAGTGTGTGAAATCATGAAAAGGACAAGAAACACTGTCTTATTAGATGACAGTGGGTATGGTATAATGTCGTGTCTCATGACTCCCTACCCCAACCCCCACGAGAAATATCAGACAGCCTTCAACAGGCTGCTTACATCAGAGCGAGTTGTGATTGAGCATACATTTGGGCAACTGAAACGGCGATTTCCTATTCTGAAGTATGAATGCAGAGTGAAATTTAACAGTATTCCAAAACTTATAATTGCTTGTGCTGTGTTACACAATATAGCTAAGCAACTAGAAGATGCAGATTTTCAAGAAGATAAAGAAGAGAAACAACAAGACTTCCAATATATAGAAGAAATAAATGTAGATGCTATTCGCGCACAGGGACAAGGACGGCGAGAAGAATTGGCTCATCTTATTACTAATAACAATATCGGTTTAAAATGTTTAAATCCTTTCGTTTTATGCATAGCACTACCAGTAATTTTGTATAAACTGCATATTTTTTATTACGTCTTGACATAACAAACACTTCAACAAAACTATTGAATTTCTAATACACCATGGTTTATTAGAAATTCTATAGTTTTATTGAAAAGTAATAAAAAATATGTAGTTTATACAAAATTATTAGTAGTGCTGAGCACCAGTGCACTTATGGACAAGCCACCACTGATGCTATGTAAATAGTGTGTACTAAGAAGCCACAAAGTTATAGTTGCTTAAAATAAAAATAAACTTACGCGCAAAGAAATCGTTTATTTTGTATTCTCTGAAATAAATTTTATATACTTAGATATATTACAGATTACAGTAAGTTTTATCTCCCACGTCAACATACCATTTCGAAGGTTCTTTGTTGGATGTCTCGTCCAATTTCTGTAGCTTGGCGAAAAAATATTGTTGTTGAAGACGAGCAACTTTTAGTTGCTCAACTAAAACTAATCGTTGAAGCTGGGTTGTCGTTAACTGCCTCGTCTTATCAGACTCTTCTGGTTTTTCACGAACAAATGTAGGCTTCGGAGCTAATTTTTTTGCAGCAGCTGATATGTATGATCGCTTTTTGTCAGGTACCACTCCAGTCATCTGATGGGCATCACTTTCCGTCAAAATGCCATCACTTAAAGTAGGTTCAGTTGGCACACCAATTGCAAGAGCTCCTAATAAAAATATACATAGTAAGTACGTACTAATGGTGGACATGAAAGTATTTCTTACCTGGTACCCGACTTAGTACAGGATTTACATCTGCATTACTTTCTCCCAGGACAGAAGGCGAATGGGCTTGTTCCCTGTTTTATTTTTATCTGTTTTATTTTTCAATCGTGTTTTCATATTGTTTACTTTTTTCATGAAAGCTTTAATTTCCATTTCTTTATCAAACAGGGTCACGTATTCCTTAACGATTTGAGTTAGTGCAGCAGTTTTCTTCGTTTTCATTGCTGGAATTTGAGATTTCTCGAGAATCTCTGGAAATGCTACGACTCTTTCAGCGATAAACATCATCTCGCTAGTCACATCTTCGCTACCTTTTTGTTCACTATCTGTACCAGACATTGTAATTTTTTTATCTTTCAACACTGCACAAATAAATTAGGATCAACTACACCTCAGTTCACTTGCGAATAGTTTTTAAGTATAAAACAAAATAAACACTGTCGCAGAACACACACGTTGATTGCACACTGCACGTTTAAACTAGTTGTCGAAATCGCTATCGGCTAATCTCTGTACCTTTTACTTCATTTATCCGAAGCATTTCCTTGCAAGGAACAGGTAGAGATTATGAATACGAATTGTAGCAAAACCTTTTACTTCTACCTTTTGCTTCTACCTTTTACTTGAAAGTAAATGCTTCATTTTTATAAATACGGACTAATGTAAACGGTTACTTTGATTAATACGATTTACTTTTGAACGATGGATACTATTATATAAAAATACAAGTATACCTCCTTATATCCATTGACGAATAGGGTATGAACATTAGAATGGGCCGAAAAAATGAAAGTTAAAAGTTTAATTTGCTTTAGCATTTAAAAGCTACGTTTCATTATAAAAACTGCTCGTAAGTTTTTTCACAATTTTAAAATTTAATTTTGACCCCTCTACCAGCGCCCAAAATTACTAATAATAAAATTAAAATTAAAAGTAAAATTTTAGTTAGCTGTGTTTAAGCATAAACACTGGTAGTTATTTCTTTCGAAATTTTAGAAATACGTTTAAAGCCCTGTACCACCCCCTTAGAACATTTATATAGACAAAGAAATTTACTCTCATCATGGCAAAATTGAAATCCCGATTTTTAGTAGACTTGTAACCCAACTATTTTCTATAAAAGCGCCCTTTAATTTACACTCTTTAACATCCCACACTCACCCTTATATAAAAATAGTACTTACTTTTTATATTATATCTTCTAAGCGTCAGTTCACCTAAAATTGTAATCTGTTAATTAGTAGAATTAGCAATTTGCAGTTGTCGGTACAAGATTTAACAAGTTTTCGAGGTTGATTACGGTTGATACGCTAGTTCTTATATTTAGGTGGTATTATGTGCCAAATCGTCGTACAGCGAACATGTGCGTATTTTTGTTTTTGATTAAGAAGTAAAGCGTTGTAATTAACAATAATAAAAAAAAATACACCTTCATACGATGAAACAGAAAGATGGGGTTTCTATTATTTAAAAAACCATTAAAAAATTTTTTTAAAGTGTTTGTAATCGTCCCCAAGTTTTATTAAATTTTGACTGCACCCGAAGATGAAAAAAATGTTTTCGAAACATATATAGTGCTGTACTAAAATAAAAACATGATCAAATAAACCTAGGAAATTTTTATTTATATAGACAAAAATGAGTGTTTTAAATTGTAGTTTAACTAGGAGTAAAGTGGAGTGCCCTACGTTTAAAAACCAAACCGATTTGAATGCTCGTATGTTGCCGACAACTGAAAAAATGCTACGATGTAATTTATTAAAATATAAACTAAAATATCAAAAATATAGTTAAAAAGAACCAAGTTTTTTAGAAGTTTACAATGAACTTGTGCCTAAAATTGAAACCATTTAATAAAATTTAATAAAATGTCCCAAAAGCAAGCGAAACTACAACTATGACGAAAAGGTAAATACATTTAAAATAAAGTAAAAGGAACAAAATTTTGGTTCCGATCAAAGATCAGCATAGGAAATGTAGATCGTGAGGAAAAACAGAAAATATTGTCGAATAATCAAAGGCAATCCAGAAAAATCGAAAGACTAAAACAATATGAATCAGAATCATGAAATTTATCAAGATCCAACTGTTCCTTTCAAACTACTACATTATTGTCAGAATCTAGATCTGACCCCTCAAAATATCAATCATCTTCAGATGACGTCTTTATCAATCCAAATTTACCCTCTACCTCAAAAAACACTTAAATAAGAACAAAGTTACCTACATTGGATCTTGTATGCGATAAATATAGTATCTGATCGATCAGCTGCAGCGATTGCTAGTGCAGTATTAAAAGATGTAGGAATAATTACCCCAGAAGATCCGTTCAAAAAAGTTAATAGAAATAAGGTGAAAAGATAGCGAAAGAAATCTAGAAACACCACAAAGAAGAATAAGAAGTCTGTATTTTGGTGGAAGAAAAGACAAAAATGTGCTGCAAGAGAAGAAAAACGGTAGAATATACAAGAAAACTTTGTCAAAAAACACATATCGCTTATCGAGGAGCCTGATTCTATCTTTATTGGCCCTGTATCTATCTATTTGAATTAGGGCGTGGTTCAAATCCCACTCGTACTGAAACTCTAGGCTTATTGTACCCCTCTTAGTTTCTATCCCATCAGACTGATTTTCTTGATGAATTCAAGAATGTCTCATGGGCGCTTTCGCGATTTCTTCAGGTTCCGGATACTGTATCCATCAGTACCATTCCCGTTCCCATTTAAGGTTCCGACAGTTACCATAGTATGTGAATAGGAGTTTCGTCCTTCTCTTCACATATTCTACATAGGGAGTCATCAGATATCTCTAAGATATTTAGGTGTCTTCTAAGGCCGCAGTGTCCCATAAGGAGTCCTATTACAGTTTTGATTTTGTCTGCTCGTGGATGGCCCCTCTATAAAAGTTTTGGACTGACTAAGTCCAGGAAGTTCCAACCAGAGCCTTTGGTGTTCTTTATTTGTTTGTTCCTTAAACACACATTTAAAATATTTGTATGAGATACCGCATGTGGGTTCTGGTTCAATAAAGAGTTTTTTTCGCTCCCTTCCTTGCTAGGAGGTCTGCTTTCTCGTTTCCAAACACTTCTTCATGTCCCAACACTCAGTCAAGGGTGACCTTGTTATCATCTGCCAGGGCCTGGAGGGACTGTAAGCAATCAAGTATTGATTTAGATTGTACTTTTCTACCCTTTTCAGTACTTTAAGGGCTGCCTGACTGTCTGTCATGATAAAGACCCTCTTATCTCTAAAAGAGTTATTTAGCATGACTTTGGCGCAGGCATTTGTTGCTGTTACTTCAGCTTGGAAGACTGTTGTCAGTGACCCCAAGTTCACCGAAGGTTCTCCCTGAGTTCACATGGTAGATCCCAGCTCCTGTGCTGTTTTTCATTTTCGAACCGCCTGTATACCAGATTGATTCGTTTTGCTTTTCCCTATTTTCCCGGCTTTTGGCCCTTTCTGGTATTTGAATATCGAAAGTCGTGAATAATGCGCGTTTTATCCGATGGCATTCTAAGTACCGGCCACGTAACTCTAACTACAGGGACGGCAAAGTCAATTGGAAACGAAATATTGGACTTTTTTCCTGAAACCAATTTGGAACTAGATGAGGTGGCGGCTGTGGGTTGCGATGGTACTGCTGTTATCACCGGTAATAAAAATTGTGTTATTAGGTATATATAAGCTAACGAATTGCCAATAAGACATTTATTTTAAATATTTAGATGGCAGCAGTGGGACCTCGTCAATATTCTGGTGAAATCAGGAAGTCTTTAAAATAATGTGTGTTTGAAAATGAACTATTTTTAATGGCCTCATATATTATTTTTTGTACGTTATATAAGTTAGCTGACTGTTAGACAACCAATTATGTCATACAGCGTATTGTATGTTGCATACCTACCTTTTTTAAACAATTAGTTATATTCACATAAAAAATGCATTTATTTGACATTTAATTTCTATCTAAATTAATGTAATCTTATTTAACAATGTTTTCTGTTTATTAATATCAGTTTCTTTAAAGTATTATCTTATTGTAAAGATCTATTTTTTGATCCACTGATGTCTATGAGATCACTGCGCATAGGAATGAAATGACGCAACGATCTCGGTCAAGTTCGTTCGCCACTTCGTTTCGAGAAGACGGCTTCTTGCAACATCGATCAGGAAATCTAATCAATATAATTAATGAAAAATGTCAATATTAATTTCTAAGTGTAGTTTCAGACCAGTCAGTTTTCCCCTTTGTGTTTGTGGCAGTCAGTTTGCTGTACGAAAAGGTAAATAAATTTGAATCTATTACAAGTTGTATTATTCCACTAAAGGATGCGATGATAGAGGAAGCAATCCGTTATCATCCATTCAATGTAAACGTCTTAAAATTGTAAATTTTACCCCAATAAAATGTGAGTTGCCAATATAACTGTAATGTCTATAGATTTATGTACTGATTAATCATATTTATATGACATTTGAAATACAATGTCAAGCGGCAATTTTTCATCAAATTTAGTACACCATAATTCTAGGTTATTAGCGCACTCTAGATGGCTCACAATGGCAAATCGTGTTTTTTAGCTCAATTCTGGAACGGAAAAGCCAACATCAAGCCTTACGGATATAGTCGAATTGATAATTAAAGTGTATCCATATGGCGACATTGTGATCACCACATAAACTTACCTTTAGTTTTGACTTAATTAGTTTAAGACCTAGATCGATTTAATTCAGGTTAGCCAAGTATCAGTGTCGGGAAACCAATGTCATAATAACGCTAACAACTAAGGCTAATAACGCCACGCCTTATGCGCAGATCTTAGTTGATAACCTTGTGCGTCCTATGTCGCCAGAAACCTTGGCAACGGAACGACCTGGATTGTCCTTTTTGGCTATTTATCTTGAAATTATATTTACATTTATTAATTATATCCTTTTATTATTTGATAGAATCCTAGATATTGGAACCTACAATGCCCTAATGTGGTTTAATAATAAACTAAATTTCAATTCCACTAGTGGTAGTTTGCATGTATTTTAAACGATTGAACTGTCACGGTATTTAGGAGATGATTTAAAAAGTATTGTGGATACGGTAATCAAAAGAAACGCGTATTTTATATACCCCGAAAACATTCTTTTGTGCATGCTAACACACACTAGTGAATAGGTTCGGAAATTATCTCTATAAATACTCTTAAAAACTAGAGAAACCAGTCTAGAAACCGTTGAAGTAAGATACTTTGTGGTACCAAAAATTAATTTGTGCTACAGACTACTTTGAGGTAATTTACTGGAATAAGTGCGATGTGACACCGTCTCCTGTTTTAAGGGATTTTA